AGATATAACACTGAATCTGCTGCGACAGCGGTAAACAGCTGCTAGGTAAATGCTGTGATCAAAGACATCTTTTTATGCATATCAGGCACCTTTGGGCGCATTGCTGCCACCCTCAGGACACTGGCTTGTGCATAATTTTATGGGCATTACGCTGCCATGCGTTATGCATAAGTCAGGCTGTAATTGGATGCCCTGGACTCTTTATAAATTACACTACACATACGCCCAAAATTTAAAAATTCATAGAAAGTTCAGCATATGCCAGCGTTTAATGAGATTTTGGGATGTCAGGCATATGCTGGCTAATTCTGCAAGGTGTGACAGGGCCTTAAGCAGCAGAGAAGAGTTGTTTCAACTGATGCAGCCATCCCAAATGATGGAAAATTTAGGAAAAATCAAGAGAAATTGGTGAAATAAAAAAAGATAAACCTACCAGGGAAGAACTAGAAAGAGCCTGATAGGTGAAGGCAACTGTTGTGTCTTTGGTTACTGGAGCAGCTGGAACAGTAACTCCCACACTGGAGAAGTGGTTCCAACAGATATGTGGAGAAGCACTAGACATCTCAATCCAGAATGGCACAGTTGTATGGACAGCTAGGACACAATGAAAAATCCTCATGCTCCTAGGCCTTGAGTAGAGGACCCCAGCTTAATATAAGGGGACAGTCACACTGCCAAGGAGTACGAGAGTCATGTGAGCTAATCAGTTTTCATCCTACAGTAAGGTAGATCTAATGTGCAACATGTTTTAGCCAAGATAGGGTTATGGTGTTTTTTTGTTTAGTTGATACGGGTTGAACAATTTGCACGGCTAGCAGTAAAAAAACCTAATCAATCATGAGATTGCAGATAAGAACACTAGAACCAGCCAAGCACAGTTTTTTATGACTATTACACATTGCCATCCCTCCTCAGGTACAGCCAATTACGCCAGGAGAGGATGCGCTAGCAGCTACTTAAGGCTGAGGACGCCTATCAGCCAACTCCGAACACACCCTGTCCCTGCTAGGGGAATAAAGAGAGCTTGTTAAGTACAACAAGACACAAAGGAGTTGTCAAGGACTGTGTGGTTTTCATGGCAGGTATGCTGTATATTATATGGTCCTTTTTCCTGAAAAAGTATGTATGACAGAAAAAGAAATCCAAAGGCAAAGAATGTGCACTCTACTGAACGCTGAGCAATCTTTTGGATTATTTACTGCTGACTGCTTTGCAGAAAGGGAGCAAGGACAAACCGTCCTTGCCCCAACTTTGATTACTTTCACTTCTTTTTAATTTCTCATTATTTTACACTGTCTTGCTCCACCTTTTCTTGTAAATTATTATTCACACTATGGGACTACTTCACTGTAAAGTAAAAGAAAAGAAGGAATCAAAGATGAAGAGCATAAAAAGGGATTTACCGTAAATGTTGGACCCAGAGATGTTCATAAGACCATTCTTAAGAGTTTAGGTCAAACTTTTAGTTACTAAAAAGAATACTGGCAAGGTAATAATGAATTGATATGCAATTACCTTTATGTGTAATGTACCATATATATTTAGTAGGGATGTTTTTCTTTTTTTCAAAATGTAACTGAACAAAGAGGACATGTGTTATTGGTAAATCTATCTATCTGTAATTTGAAAAACCTATTATTTAGATTGTGTTGGTATAGAATATAATATTTTATAAGAATGTATTTCTCTGCATTTACATGTTTGTTTTGCAGTTCATGACAATTCCAGATCTTGTTTTAAAATTGAAAAGTATCTAATGCTAATTAAAGCAAGATTTTTAATACAGAAGTGTATTTTTTGTAAATACAGTATCATGGGCTGTTTAATAGTAAAGAAGACTGATCCAGCAGAATGTCAGAATGTCATTGGCACCATCCTCAAGGTTGATGCCACACAAAAAGTAATTGTTAAAGAATCTAGCTGGAGACAAATGACTAGATGGAAAGTTGATTGGAAGGTTAGGTCATAGAAAAGAGTTTTCTAGATGCATTGATAACCACAACCTTGGGAGAATAGTAAATCAAAGCATATTTTATTCATATGAATTTCCCTCATCAGTGTTTATTTGAAGAGCCTTGTCACCTGCTGGTGTTTATTCACTTTGTTTAATGAACTCTTCATGCTTTGCTCCAAGCTTAATGGTAAAGCTGATTTGAATTCCCAACATTTAGACACTTGTAAACAAGGACAAAACATACCTACCTGTTTATATTCTTAAACAACAACATGGTTTAACTTTACTTGACTATTCAAAAAAACTCACCTCCTCAAACCCGAAAATTATTTATGGGGCATTGTCCACAGCAAAATGAGAACCACTAAAGCAAATAATGCAGATAGGTCAAATGTAGTCAAATGCTCAGCAACCTCAGCAGATTCTCAGACTGATCCTCTTGATTCCATGCTGCATCGATGTGGCAATTAATGGTAAAGGATCGCCAACCAAGTATTAAGTGCATATTTGTGAATAATAAAGACATAAATTTCAGATGTCCAACAAATTTTTAAATTAAACCCTTTTCTTTTAACCCTTATGTGATGTTCTACTTTCCTGAAAGTGTAATTTTGGGAAATAATAATCAACAAAATTGAGTTATATAATTTTTCATTTGATAATTCAATTATTTTGCTAAGCAATTACTTTTTCAAGTAATTGATTGACAACTGGATAGCAAGAGGTGCATAATAACATTATTTTTAGCGAATTTGAGCCAGGTTAAGCTAAAGCTATAGCACTTGCAGAATATTGGATAGAGTATTTTCACAGAAAAATACAGGGTTTTTAACCTCTAATACAAAATGTATATTTTCCTTTTTTGATGGTTATTTCAATATTAGATTAATCACAACTAATCAAATCCATTGTTTCAGCCCTAAAGTTTTTTGAATGGAATGAATCTGTATTTTTTAAAAGCGAAAAAAATGCATGATCATTACCATCAAGCTGCATTTAAAATAAAACAACTTATATGATAATCACAGCTCAAAATATGTAAACATCCTTTGCTAATAAATCATGTTTGCTTGGATTGGAGGTTTGTGGCACATTGAAATACTTGCTTAAAGGTCTGAATAAAGTAAAAGGTTGTGGATACGATTCAAATACTAAGCTAGATTCACACAGCAGCCTGAAGCGACCCAAATCCAATTATTTTGGCCATATGTGACCTGTATCAGATCCTTTCATGGCAGTCTGAACAACACAGATCTGTTTTTTCCAATGCGACCAAGGCCACATGACTATGTGGTCCTGAATCCGATACGAATCTGATCTTTTTAATTACGACCAGTGCCTGAATGGCCAGGTCACATTCATTCGACCTAAACATCCTTATTGCTTAACAAAGGCAGCTATTCTGCATCTTGCTACACAGAAGCGGGAAGAAAAACAACCATGATGGAGGATAATGCGGAGAGCAGTCTTTATTTTCAATGCTCTTTAAAATATTTTATTGTTAATGCACTGGTTGGGGTTGGGAAAGAAATTAAGGACTGCTAGATGCGCTACAGCACTAATATACATTTTTACTTTCGTAGACACAGTGCAAGCTCGCTTGTGACGTCATTGCGTCCTCTACTGTGCATGTGGGACACTTGTGTGAATGCAGGTCACACAGGAGATAGAAGTCGCATTTATTTGGCTACATGAACAACCACTCATAAATAATCGGCTTCCCCAAAAAAAACTCGCAATTGATTATTAAGGCCTGCAGTGTGAGAGTAGTGTAATCAAGTCTAAGTTTAATTAGGTCACAAGTCTGATTTAATTTAGAGGTCTAAGTGAAGTTTATCAGTAAGTGGCAGAGGCCTACGTCTGAGCCCAGAGTCACGACCTGTGATAGGAGCTGCAGTGAAATCAGGTGAAAATCAAAACCTTGACTTAAAACGAGCCTCAGTATTTCTTGGCTTCCTCTTACTTTTCTTTACCTTCAGTCCTGGCTGTGTTTGAGAAGAAGAGAAAAAAAACCTGGGACATTGTTGCTAGTTCTGCAATGAAATATTGATCACACAGCCTCACTGTGCTGTGTATCTTCACCTCCTCTACCTGCAAGCAGATGATACCTCAGCTGCACATACACACATAAAACACTCTCAAGGGCCTAATCTCAACTGCAGCTTTACATGCCTGTTTCCCACTTTGTCTTTGATGTTCCAAACCAACCTCACAGCATCTATATATTTATCTACTATACAGACTGATACCATTGCATCAGCAAATTTGATTGCAATCACCTTAACCACCTGCAGTAATTTCAGCTGGGTATCTTTTACCCCAGCTTCATCACAACATTATGCTGATGACAAGTACAGAAGATGTGTTAACAGAACACTTGTCCAGATATCTGAACAATGAACAATCTCACAGTTCTTCTTGCAAATTATAGAGACAAAAAAGGCAGATGGACTTTCACGTTCAGTTGTTTGATGGGTGGATTAAAAAGTATTAGCAAACTCAGGAAGCCAGCAGTCACAGAACAACAGGAAGCATGTTCAAAATGAGAGACCACCATAATGGGGAAAACCATCCGCTTTTTGCTTAGTGTAAAATGAGATGGTTTCCCTTAAATTTGAAAACACTTCAAGAGAAAAAAACATGCTCCCTCTCGGCTTGTTATTGAGTACTATTGGAGTCAAAAGGGGGTAAATTGACTAAGTAGGTCGAAGAGAAAAGCATGCAGAGAAAATAAGCCAAACTCAAATTCTGATTGGCCACATGGGTGTGTGTATGCTGCTTTCATAATTGCTTTCACTTGATGCTTCTACCCTCGTTTTAAACATTTGCTGTGACATTCAATGTGATTGATAGGAAAACAGATTCTTGGTGATGCAAATAGTCTTTGTGGCTCAGCACTTCACTAACCACCCCTCCAAGCCCCCATTGAGACTAGCATCTGAGAACGGTTCCTTCCACAAAAGTGTGTAAAGACACCACACCATCACTGGCAGAGTCCACAAACAGATTGCTCTGAATCAAGTGAGTGAGCGGCGGCGGTACTTACCACGCTCGCTGGACAGGGTGGTATCTGTCAGAGAGATAGAGAGAGAGGGGGATGGGGGGGACAGACAATGATCATTAGAGCATAATAGGTTTCAGGAAAAGTGGCAATGCAATATTAAAGACACAGGTAAAGAGAAAAACCAGCAGATCAATTTGTAAAGATTAATGGAAAGAAACAAACGGTGGCAGGACAGTGAAATAAACAGAACATAAAGTCACTATTGAGGAAAATTTGCTGTCACATCCTTGTAGCCTCCTACATTTGTCTCTGCCTATTATTAAGGCAACACCATCTAAACAGGATGCAGGCTGCTTTTTTCCTTCTTTCTCATTTCATCCCCTCTGGCAGCAGAATATGTCTTTATCTTCAAACACCTGATGTGATCTCTTCATTGCTCCGTTTTGTCAATGAAATTTATGAGAATTGTGTAGTTCTCTCTGTGCACATTGCAACATATTACAGATTCTTGCAGTTGTACTCACAACTCTTGCACTTCTTAACTTTTGGTTCTGTTACAGCCACAAATGTAGTGATATTCCAAAGAAATTGAATGTGAAGAATGCAATATGTGTTTAATATAAAATGTAAAAAACATGGCATGTATTTGTATTGACTAATTAATGAACCCATAAGCATCTTATTGTTCTTTTAAAGATATGGTTGGATGGCAATAAAATCAAACTTTTAACACAATCTATGCTTGACTAAAGCTAACAAATTAAACTAAACCAAAACATTATTTTGGCAGTTACATGTTGGGGGATGCATATCTTTAAAAGGGATGACAAAATTTGGTAAGTCACAGGGAAAATGGCTAGGCCTAAACATCAAGCAATTATCAAAGAAAACATGTTGGAGTTTGCAAAAGACTTGCACAAACAACTAGACTTTTACTTTAGATCATCCTTTTCTTTTTTTATTACTTTGTTTTGGTCCAACTTTTTATCTTGGTCCAACGTTTAACCTTCCACATACAAGCCCAATTAGATGAATTAAAGCCTATATGCAATGTGACAATAAAAGCAAATTAACAGCAGGTATGGAAAAGTTTGCTCCATTCTGCAAGTAAACAATCTATTTCCCTTGCTTAGTTTGTTTCATTTGTTTCTTACAATGAATATGAAGGGCCATAAGCATGTGTAAGCTAACTAAAACAAAGTTAACAAACTCACATATGGTTTTATATGTCTTCTATTTGACAAATTCAATTGTATATTTAAGTATGCTGCTTTTACCTAACTAATGTGGGCTAAATTAGCAATGTGTGCTGTGGTTATACAGTTCTACCTCCAGTTAAGCAAGGGTAAAAGCTTATTCAGGCACATGACACACTTTCTTTTGAACAACTACTTTTACCTCAGTAAGGTTCAATGCTTTTTACATCTTTAGAGACCTAACAGAAAACTGCAGTGCTTTCTAAACAACAGTTATGCTTGCAGACAATGTCATCTAATCCCTTTTTCAATGTATAAAGACACCTAAGTCCATCCACAGAACTTAGCTTTGCACATGTTAAATTATTCATCTCCCTCTGTCAAGAATTCAGCTGTCCTAGCACTTGCCAGTATCCCCAACACATTGGCAGGCAAGCTCATATTTGGCATATGGTGCAGAGCAGGGCTGTTCATTCCTCCCTCCTCACTTGGCCTCCTAGTCCTTATGAGGAGAACACTAACACCAGCCAGCACACTCGTGTATAGCCATCAATACTAGCAAAAACCCAGCTCACCCCCTTACTGAGTTGCCGGGCATCTGTCCACAACCTCTTTGCAACAGGTTTCAAGGTATTTAGCAGATATAATTGCGCTGTACATAAAAAAAAGAGAAAGACAGGAGAACAGCTACAGACTACAACTGTGGGGGGAAATACAGAAATTTTCCGAATGTATTTCAGAATTTCCCTGCAACCATTCGTATAAGTGTACTCAGGCTGAGAGGAGGTAGATTGAAATGGATACGTACAGAAATTAATATATAATTTAAGCTGATTTATACACAAATAGATGGCAGTACCTTCTTGTTATACAGTATGTTTATAACAATAGTAACATTGAGTCCTAAGTATAATACTTTAGTCCTACTCCCCTTGCTTACATACAGTATTATTGTCAGAGTAGATTCCTATTTGAATCCCCAATTAAAACCCTTCCTTTGATGTCAGTTGCAACTGGAAATCTTTTACAACAGCTGTTCAAGCATGCTGATGATGATATGTCCTTCAAGGAAGCAATATACTTCCAGTAGGCAACAAGCAGACTGAGCATGCTAAAGTAGACTTATATATTTTGAGCTTTCCACTCTTTTCTGTCATCAAACATAAAAATAATTTTTTATTATTCTAATTTGGATTAGCGTATTTTCCAGTTTGGAACACCTGCTATTAATGGTGGTTACGACTGGGGTTGAAGAAGAAGATGGAGGGTACAGTAAATGCAATCTGCATGAAAGATAAAAGAGAATGTATCATTTCTGTTTAATCTTTCATTAATTTCTGCAAGAAAACATGAAACAATCTGTGTAAAATCTGGCACAATGATGTTTAGAAAGACACTTAAGCTTCTATTTCAAATCTAGGCTGTTATCTACCCTGAAATGTTCTGTGTTCTAAAACATATAAGCTCTGTTAGTTAAGATGGCATGATAAACCATTTCAAAGGCTGCTAAAATGTCTTACAAGACTTACCCAGTAACTACATCAGTGGCTGCAACCTTTATAATATGACTGGACACTCTGAGGAAGGCAGTTATGAAATCTGTTTTACTGAAATGTGGTGTTCATTAAAACTGTGTTTCATGGTGGCTAACTAGTGTAGAAGCGCAGCAAATGACTGAATTCACCATAAATGGCCAAATACTCTGAGTAAACACGTAAGTGATGCATATTAAAAACTCCTAATTGTAACACAAAAATCCTGCAATAGAAAAATGTTGCAATCATAATTTTATTATTCTAAATGTTGTTTTCCATATTTTCAGAAAGTCATTAAGTGGTTATCCTGAATGTAGGCACAGGAGAACAGAGTTCTACCCTTTCAAGCCAAATAAATGCACAGAACATTTTAGAGTGTTACATAATTAATATTAGCTGCTGTTTACCAAACTGCATGTTAAGAAAGACATTGGATGAATATATTCAAAATATATGAATACACATACATGTTACTTTTTTTGGTATTTGAGGCCTAATGCAAATTTTTGGCTTCCCACTTTGACAATCACACTTGTTTTATTTTGGCACTCCACTACTTAATAGATTTCAAACCAGTGGTCCATGTCTTGTCTGGATCTAATTCACCTAGTTTATACAAAAAACTAGGTTTTTTAATAAAGCAGATTTCTGCCATGCACTTCATTATTCAAACCAAGTTATGGATCAGCCACCCACATTTTACAATATTATGGTCATGATTGTAATGATCATGAGCTTAAACAAAACAAAGAGAAAATCAGTGCTATTGATTTGCAGAGTAAGCAGTCTAACTTTGCTAATCTGCTAAGAGTTGGAGAAGAACTCAAGCCTTCCACATGCAGATCATCCAAAGTTTGCAGGTCTGAAACAGGCCTACAGAGTTTACGGACAGATTCTCCAGTTAAACAATATGGATTTTGATGATTTTTTTTTATATGTTGAGTAAAGACAAAGCTAATGAGATGGAACACATGGTAACATGTCTCAACTGTTGTTTATAAAGATAAAACAAGCTTTATTTTATTAATTGCTTAAACACTGAGATAACGTTAACATTCATATGTTTTCTAATACAGTATGCTTATTACATTTTGATTACCAAATTATGACCAAAAGTAATTTAATTGGAATCCTCATACCTGCTTATGTCTAGCTCACTCAGAGGAGGTAATGAATCAATTAACTAAAGGTTATTGGGTCCTGATTAAGCAAATCATTTAATAAAACACTGTTTGGACAAATAATTCACCTCATGGATTTGCATCATGAATTTGTTTGAAAACATTCCAGTTGCTCTAAATTAGTTAAAAGCTAATTTGATCACATCCCAAAACTTTGGTTCACAAACATAAAATCCAGCTAAACTGTGATATCATTACATCATCTCATTGATTATGGTTTTCAACCATGTTTTTCCTTCTTCTTTGAACACAGTTGCTTAGTTTAGTTTCACTAGTTTTTATTCAGGATTTTCAACTGACATATCTTTGACTTGAAGCTGAATTACTTTTGGTTATAAACTATTATATTTTGAATGGAAGTTCTAGTGATTGATAATTTGAGCTGGATTCACACTTTTATTTGTTCTCATACAAAGCCAGTAGGCTGCGTGTTCATGAACAATATAAGCCAGTCCAAACATTATCTTTTTACATAACAAATTTACCTCCCCTACTGGGGCAGGCAATAAATATATTAAAGTTGCACAACAACACATAATTGCTTCTTATGGTGTGTTCACATTGAACACGAAACCTGTGAAAAATGTATACGTTTCATGTCATTTCGCTTGCCTTACATTTCCCAGAGAAACTTGTCTGCCCAGCAAAGGCACTTTTTTCTCTCATCCGAGAGGTTTTATGAGTTCTGAAACTGGATTGATACTATTAAACCAATAGATTAGTGACAAAATTGGGGTTGGGGCTCTAAACCCATGGATAAACCCTACAACACAAGCACACTCTCACAAACACCTACTTGGATCCGGTTACTTACATGCTTACCCATTGTTTTTCATCACTACCACTGTATGCATTCCATATTGATTAATACTGTATGTTGCTGTACTGTGTCTGTAGTTCTATATCCGCTGGTTGTGCTGTTCTTTCGCCATCTCTCTTTGCAGATGATGAAGCAGATAGATGAAGCTTTGTAAATCTCTGCTGTCGTCTCCTTTCACCTTTTCTTGCTTTCTTTTGTAGTGTCCACATAACATGAATTATTCCCTACATAAACCATAATTAAACTATTTACATAGATAAATCAAGCAGAACACTATGGCAAAAGCGATAATGCTCCACTTATGAGAGTAAAATCTGTTGGGCTTTTTCTAGCA